CATGTGGGATGGGGGGGACATGTCCATGGATGGTGACATGTGACATGAGGGGACCCGTCCATGGACAGTGTCATGTGGCATGGAGGGGACACGTCCATGGACGGTGATATGTGGCATGGGGGGGGACATGTGGCACGGAGGGACATGCCCATGGATGGTGACATGTGGCCCAGGGGGACATGTCCATGCCAGGACAGTGACATGTGGCACAGAGGGACATGTCCATGGATGGTGACATGTGGCCCAGGGGGACATGTCCATGCCAGGACAGTGACATGTGGCACAGAGGGACATGTCCATGGATGGTGACATGTGGCCCAGGGGGACATGTCCATGCCAGGACAGTGACATGTGGCACAGAGGGACATGTCCATGGATGGTGACATGTGGCCCAGGGGGACATGCCAGGACGGTGACATGTGGCGGGGGGGGCACATCCATGCCAGGCTGGTGACATGTAGTAGCATAGGGGGGACACTTCCCAACCAGGACAGTGACATGTGGCCCAGGGGGACACTTCCATGCCAGGATGGTGACGTGTGGCCACGTCCATGCCAGGATGGTGACATGTGGCCCAGGGGTACACGTCCATGCCGGGATGGTCACATGTGGCATGGAGGGACACGTCCACGCCGTGAGGTGGCACGTGATCGAGGAGGACACATCCCCACCAGCGCCACCACCCCACCCCGTCCCCCACCACACCACCACGACACTGTCCCTCGCCTGCCACCATTTATTCACTGCTCCTCCCTCGGGTGGGGACGTCCACCGCGTGGGGTGTCCCCCGTTGTCCCCCGTGTCCCTCAGGCCACCTCCGGCAGCGGCTCCAGCAGCAGCCAGAGCCCGTCCTCGGTGCGGAGGATGAGCTCGGGCTTGCGGCGCGGTGGCCGCCCCGCGTCCAGCCGGATGGTGAAGCGTGCCACCGTCAACGCCGCCACCACCTTCAGCTCAGCCATGGCGAAGTTCTGCCCGATGCAGTTCCTGCCACCACGTCCCCCTCTGTCACCTCCGTGGGGGACGGGGACGGGGATGGGGACGCGGGGGACAGCAGAACCCACCCCCTAGCTGGGCTGGGTGGTGGAGCAGATGGTGGAACCTCCTCGAAACGTGGGGACGGCGTTGTCCCCCATGACGCCCGAATGTCACAGCTTGGGGACAACCACCCCACCTTGAACCCAACCAGGCTGGGGGGTGACACGTGGGGTGCACCGGTGTCCCCACCGTGGACTTACCTGGGACCGGCGGAGAAGGGGATGAAGGCCAACGGGGACCGTCCCTGGCTGTTCTCCAGGCTGAACCTCAGCGGGTTGTAGACCTGGGGTGACAGACACCGTCGTGCCGTGGGGACATGGTTGTCCCTGCCCACGGTGACAAGCTGCTGTCCCACGGTCATGGCAGGGTGGGTGCCACCAGGGCCAAGTGGCTCTACCTGGGGCTCGGGCCAGACATCTGGGTTGTGGTGGGTCCCGTAGATGCTCATCAGGCAGATGATCCCTGGTGGGATGGAAACGGCCACCTTAGGGACAGGGGACAAGGAGGGATGGTGACATCGGGGACACCCTGCACCCCGGGTGAGCCGTACCCTTGGGGATGACTCGTCCGTCACGCAGGGCGATGTCCTCGGTGCAGCACCGGGACACGGCGGTGACAGGGGGATGCAGGCGGAGGCTCTCCTTGATGCACATGGTGGTGAAGGGCAGGCGGGACAGGTCCTCCCTGGGGGCGAGGGATGGTGGCACCGGTGTCCCCAAGCCGGGTGGCTGGGGGATGACACCGGGGACCTCTCACCATTCGATCTCCTCCACGTCCCTGCCCTTGAGGAGCTCGCGGACCTCCTGGCGGCACCGCTCCTGGTACTGGGGGTGGCGGGCCAGGTTGTAGAGCAGCCACGCCAAACCGCTGGCCGTCGTGTCGTGGCCTGCAGGGGCAAGGGGTTAGCGAGGGGACATGCGAGTCCCCCGCTCCGATGGCACCTGGTGGCTTCCCCTCACCCTCGAACATGAAGGTGTCAGCCTCGGCCGAGATGTCTTCGTCCGACAGGGTGTTGCCGTCCTTGTCCTGCAAGGGCGAGCGCGGCAGCCGAGGGGCCCCCCAGGGCCACCAGTCTACGGCCAACCCTCTCCATGGCCACCACCATTCCCCTGTGGCCACCACCCTGTGGCCACCCTTTTCCCTGGCCACCAA